CAACGCCAAGATCGCCTTTCTGCAAGAGATCCGCGACGTCCGCGACGCATGCCCTGGCCCATGGCTCATCTGCGGGGACTTCAATATGATCTACCGCGACGAAGACAAGAACAACGGCAATCTCAATCGGAGAATGATGGGGCGGTTCCAACGCGTCCTCAACGACCTCGCGCTCAAGGAAATTTACCTCAGCGGCCGGCGCTATACGTGGTCCAATGAGCAGAGCTCGCCCACCTTGGTCCATCTTGATCGAGTGTTGTGCTCCACGGACTGGGAAGAGCTGCACGGCGAATGCCATCTGCGCTGCCTAGCCTCAGTCGTCTCGGATCACTCCCCCCTCTTGCTCGACTGTTCGCCTCTCCCATCAGCACACCGACGATTCCACTTCGAGGAGTACTGGACTCGCCTCGCCGGTTTCCCGGAGATCGTGGCGACCTCGTGGCATTCGGTGGACGACGCCAACCCGTTCCGGCGGTTCATGCGGCGCATGCAGGCCACTGCGCGTAAGCTCACCAGCTGGAGCGCGCGCTCCGTTGGCAACGTGCGAGACCAGCTTGCGATCTCTCGTGAGTTGCTGCTCCGCTTCGACGCCGCGCAAGAACAGCGGGCCCTATCGCCGCATGAAGACTGGCTGCGTCGCCAACTCAAGTTATCCTACCTCGGCCTGGCTTCTCTCGAGCGGACGATCGCCCGGCAGCGCGCACGCATTGCATCTCTCAAAGACGGCGACGCGAACACTACGTTGTATCATCGCCAGTGCACATACCGTAAGCAGAAGAACTGGATCCATGGCATCTCTGTCGACGGCGCCGTGCTCACTGCTCCTAGCGACATGGCAGCGGCCACCTTCAAGCACTTTGACAGCCGGATTGGGACGGACGTGCAACGTGACTGCACCATTGACCTGTCGCAATTCATTGAGGCCTCAAATCTTGAAGACCTCGACGCGCCATTCAGCGAAGATGAGATTTGGCAAGCCATCAAAAGCTTGCCGTCTCGCAAGGCGCCCGGCCCCGACGGCTTCACCGCGGAGTTCCTCCGCTCCTGCTGGCCGGTCATCAGTACGACCTCCGATGCGTCTTCGACCAGGTTTATGCGCTGCGTGGACGAGGGTTTAGCTGCCTTAACCAGGCGCTAATTACGCTCCTCCCCAAGCGCGCCGATGCCAATGGCCTGGGAGATTATAGGCCCATAAGCCTAATTCACATTGTCGCCAAGGTCCTGGCCAAGCTGCTTTCGCTCCGCCTAGCCCCCAAGCTCAACAACCTTGTCAGCGACGTCCAGAATGCGTTTATCCCCGGGCAAAGTCTTCATGACAACTTCATCCTCGTGCGTCAATCCGTGCGGCTTCTGCACCAGCTTGGTGCCCCTCGCGCGCTCCTGAAGCTTGACTTGGCGCGGGCTTTTGACTCCGTCTCGTGGCCTTTCCTGTTCGAGGTGCTGCGATGCCATGGCTTTGGCAACCGCTTTCTTGGTTGGATTGCCCTTCTCCTGTCGTCGGCCAGCACGAAGGTTCTCCTCAACGGCAACCCAGGACCCGCGATTTGGCACCGCTGCGGACTGCGCCAAGGTGATCCAGTTTCCCCGCAGCTCTTCGTCCTTGCCGTCGATACGCTGGGCAGGCTCTTTCATCGCGCGGTCGAGCTCCGAGCCATGAGCAGCTCCACCCGCGCCGCACCATCCCTACCATATCCCTTTACGCCGACGACGTCATTCTCCTGTGCCACCCATCGCCGGATGATATCGCGGCGGTGAAGGAGATCCTGCAGCTCTTTGGGCGCGCCTCCGGCCTGCACGTGAACTTCCAGAAGAGCGCTGCGGCCCTCATCCGCTGCGACACCGAGGACGCTGCTCATGTCGTCGCGCTCCTGGGATGTCCCATTGTCGAATTCCCGCTCACTTACTTGGGCATCCCGCTCACGTTGCGTCGCCCCACTGCTGCCCAGCTCCAACCCGTTGTCGACAAGGTTGCTGGGAAGCTGCCCTCCTGGAAGGCTTGGCTAATGAACAAAGCCGGCCGCCTTGCCTTCGTCAAGGCTGTCTTAAGCGCGATCCCCATCCATCAGCTCCTTGTGCTTGCACCGCCAAAGAAGATCATCAAACTTTTGGAGAAGATTGAAAGAGGATTCCTTTGGGCTGGCCGCGCCGAGGCCAATGGAGGCAATTGCCACGTCAACTGGCGGCGCGTCTGCCGGCCTATCCAGTTCGGTGGCCTCGGCGTTCACGATCTCGAGCGCACTGGCCTTGCCCTTCGCATGAGGTGGCAATGGCTCAGCCGAGTCGATGATAGCAGGGCCTGGAACGGCCTTGACCTGCAATTCGCGCCCGAGGAGCGCGCGCTCTTCCTCGCCTCCACTACCATGACTATTGGCAATGGCCAACGCGCCCTATTCTGGGAGGACAGATGGATCAACGGGCGTGCAGTCCGCGTGATCGCGCCTCTCCTTTTTGCTCACATCCCCAAACGGCGTCGCAAGTCCAGAACCGTAGCGGACGGCCTTCATGCAAACCAATGGGCCACGGACATCCATGGCGCGATTGGCGTCCTGGAGATCGGAGAATACCTGCGCCTCTGGCACATGCTCACCGAAACTGCCCTCACTAACGCTCCAGACTGCATTCGCTGGAAGTGGACCGCGAACGGCGAGTACTCCGCCAAGTCCGCATACCTCGCCACTTTTCAGGGCTCCACCAGATGCCAGGCTTGGAAACTTACCTGGAAGTGTTGGGCACCGCCTCGGGTGCGCTTCTTCCACTGGCTTGCCAACCTCGATCGGTGCTGGACGGCCGACCGCCTCGCGAGACGCAACCTGCCGCACCCACAGCGCTGCCCTCTTTGCGATCAGGCTTCGGAGACGATTCATCATCTTCTCCTGGAGTGCCCTTTCAGCCGCGAGGTGTGGCACGAGATTCTCTCATGGCTGCGCCTCTCTTGCCCGCTGCCCAATAACGATGCCACTCTCCACGACTGGTGGTGCTCTGCACGACAAGACACGCCTAAACCCATGCACAAGGGATTGGCCTCCGCTGCCTTGCTTGTCCCTTGGATGATTTGGAAGCATCGCAACGGATGCGTGTTTGAGGGCGCAACACTGTCGGTTACCTCCCTGACTGCTAGGATTAAGGATGAGGCCGCGCTCTGGGCCAGAGCTGGCGCATTGGGGCTCCGGGCCATCTTGCCACAAACCTGGGATGTCCACTAGTGTGCATGTACTCTCCGTGTAAATCTGCCTCCTAGGAGGATTGTACCAAACCCCTTCTTTTCAATGCAATGAAACGCAAAAGTCTTTTGCGTTTTCTCAAAAAAAAAAAGATTCTATGCCTTTAGTTCGAAAGTTCACCATTAGTACAATGTTGACTCTGTTTTCTTCTGTTGTCTCTTCTAGTTCCGTATTTAAATTTTATTTCCCCGTTTCTGTTACCTAATTTTCGAAGTAGTGGACATCTTGTTAATATACTTACCATGACTGTCAATTGGGAAAATGTTCATTCACTCTACCATGTGTTAAGTAATAGACCTTTAGTTTCCTATTTGAAATTAGGTCAATGTATTATCGACGAACTTTGTTATTTTGAACCAGTTTTTCTTCTTAGAACCTACTCCCTCCGTTCCCAAATAATTGTCTTTCTAGCCATCTCAAATGGACTACAACATACGGATGTATGTAGACATGTTTTAGAGTGTAGATTCACTCATTTTGCTCCGTATGTAGTTACTTGTTGAAATCTCTAGAAAGACAATTATTTAGGAACGGAGGGAGTAATTTGTTTGTATATATGTCTATCTGAAATTAGTTTAATGTTTGCGTGCCGGGTAGTTATGTTGGTAATATTGTTTGATTTTGTTTTGTATATATGACTGTCAATGGACAAATGTTCATTCACTCTACCATGTGTTAAGTAATAGACCTTTAGTTTTGTATATTTGTCTATCTGAAATTAGTTTAATGTATGTGTGCTGGGTAGTTATATTGGTAATATTGTTTGATTTTGTTTTGTATATATGACTTTCAACTGGGCAAATGTTCATTTATTCTACCATGTGTTAAGTAATAGACCTTTAGTTTCCTATTTGAAATTAGGTTAATATATTAGACGAACTTTGTTATTTTGAACCAGTTTTTCTTTCTAGAACTGTTTTTTGTATCTGCCTTATCTGAAACTAATTTAATGTATGTGTGCCAGGCAGTTATATTTGTAACATTGTTTGATTTTGTTGTCCTTGTCTTATTGCATAGAAGATATTATTTCAGCTATCTGTTATGTGCTTTGTGGATATTTTTACCATTTATTGTGGTAATTAATCTTGCTGATTTTGTTAAGTATTTTAGCATGAATTTGTGGTGTGAATTGCACAAAGCTCAGTATGGGGAAAATAATTTCAATGCTGATGGGCTCAGATGGATGGCATTAATCAAACGCTACTGCTAAGTTCATACTTTGTTACAAAAATGGCATGGCGTGTTGGTACCTTTCTGTTTGTTTTTTGCACTCCTTTGAGTTTGTCAGGCTGAGGTCAAGCATGGTAACTAAAATTTATATGCAAGTTGAGCTGTTTTAATCAAGTTTAGTGTAGTTGAGCTAATCATGAGTGTGCTGTATAGGGTCATTGCAAGCCATTGCTTTGGGTCTAAGGGTGACTAGACCCGACAGGTAGAGGTCAAAACTGTGCCAAAGTTGGCCACTGGCCTGTACTGGATACTCTGTGCTATGCCTACAAGTATCTTTTGTAGGGCTGTGAAACAAATAAGTGCTGAATTTTGTTTCTAACTGTCAAGAATTTAAGACAGCAATTTGTGCGGTCGATTGCCTGCACGCCAGCACTTTCTGTTCAGTATCTGCAAGCCATTTTCTGTTTCTTGTTTTATAGTCGCTGTGGCACTTTTATTGTCCATCTATATTTGCATTGGTTCTCACCTTTTGTAATGTCTGTTATCTGAAGATTAATTAGTTGATAGGAGTACTATGCAGATGCTTTAAACTGCCCTTAATCCGCTCTTATGTCGCATGAAATCTTGCAGGTGACGCCTAATGCGCATTTCCAGAAGGACCTCGGGCTGGACAGCCTGGACACCGTCGAGATCGTCATGGCCTTTGAGGAAGAATTTAGCTTTGAGATCCCCGACAATGAGGCAGAGAAGATCGATTCCATCAAGTCGGCAGTTGACTTCATCGCCTCGCATCCTCAAGCAAAGTAAGATTTGCTTGCAGCGGTTTCTTGGTTCGCCCCTTTGACACGCATTGTTTCCAGAACGAATGCTCCCCGAAGAAGGACCTGTTTTTTCAGCATTTGCCCAGTAGGTGAATGGTCTTAGTTTGCTCCGTTGATTTTTGTGCTCTCTGGTAACAAGTCTTTGTTCTCTCCCTCCGTCTGTTGCAATAAATAATGATACACCAGTTGGCTGTAGATCTATGATTCTATTAGCTGGGGATGACAGCAGCCAAAGTTGTGATACTAGTTGTGCACCTGTGCCATAGCTCACACCAACTCAGTACGAATGATCTGAATCTGCAATGACGAAGATTTGTATGCGTCAGGAGAGCATGAGCGCTGGTCTAGGTGTGTCAAGTTGGTTCCTGCGGTTCGTAAGAGCATCTCCAGTCGTTGGGCCCCCAAGGGGCTTAGAAAAATCGCCTCCAGGGGTGAACTGGCGATAAAATAGGCTTGGGGCCTGTTATGACGCAAATTTGCCCGCTTTTCAGGCCGCTATCGGTGCAAATCGGTCCATATTCACCGTGCTTCAACAGAAGTTATTTTTTATCACATCATAGAAAATCAATAAAAATTAAATAGTTCAACAACAAATAGTTCAATACAAATTATATAGTTCAACAAATAAAAACTCATATTTCATCACATGTCAAGCTAGGTGTTGCCCTTGAGCTTCCATAGGTGCTCCATCAGATCCTGCTGCAGTTGTTGATGCACCTGTGGGTCTCGGATCTCCTGACGCATATTGAGGAAGGTTGTCCAGGTTGTCCGTAGCTGGTGGATCTCCTGACGCATATTGAGGAAGGTTGTCCAGGTTGTCCGTAGCTGGTGATCAATTTGGGTTAGAGGACCCTGCCTGTAATATGGTTCAGTGTCAGACACTGACACTTCCTGCTCACTTTTAATGATCATATTGTGCAAGATGACACAACAAGTCATGATCTCTCACATTTAATCTTTCGACCAGGTCTGAGCGGGGTATCGGACAATTGCAAATCGAGATTGGGGCACACCAAATGCCCGCTCGACATCCTTCCTGCAAGCCTCCTGAACCTTCGCAAAGTGGGAGTTCTTGCCTCCTCGCATAGAGTTTGAGATAGTCTTCACAAATGTAGACCATCTCGGATAGATGCCATCTGCTAGGTAGTATCCCTTGTTGTAGTGTCGCCCATTGACCTCGAAGTTCACCGGAGGAGAATGACCTTCAACAAGCTTGGCAAAGACAGGGGAGCACTGCAGCACGTTGATGTCATTGTGAGTTTCTGGCATACCAAAGGAGTGCCAAATCCAGAGGTCCTGTGTGGCTACTGTCTCAAGTACCACACTGCAACCGCCTTTGGCACCATTGTACATCCCCTGTCAAGCAAATGGACAATTTTCAATTTCCAATGCATGCAGTCGATGCTTCCAAGCATCCTAGGAAATCCTCTTGCTGCATTCTGTGCTAGGATCCGAGCAGTGTCTTCAACATTGGGTGATCGCAAGAATTGCGGTCCAAACACTGCCACCACTGCTTTGTAGAACTTGTAGAAACACTCAATGGTCGTGGACTTGGCCATGCGCCCATAGTCGTCGAGTGAATCACCGGGAGCTCCGTATGCAAGCATCATCATAGCTGTCGTGCACTTCTGGATTGAGGTGAATCCAAGTTTGCCGGTGCAATCCTTCTAGCACTTGAAGTAGTTGTCGAGCTCTCGGATGGAATTCATGATCCCGAGGAAAAGCTGTCGGCTCATCCGATAACGATGCCGAAATACTTTGTCGCCATGCAGTGGAGCGTCAGCGAAGTAGTCGGCGTAGAGCATGCAATAGCCTTCCAGACGATGCCGGTTCTTTGCTTTTAGCCGCCCCGCCGCCGAGCCACCTTGCCGCGGCTTTTCATTGCTCGCGAGCAGGCCGGCCATGGCGGCGAGGGCCATGAGATGCTCCTCGTCCTGGACGTCAGCATCGGCTTCCTCATCCAGCAGCGCCGCGAGCGCCTCCTCGTCGTCTGAGTCCATCGCCGAGCAGACAAATCGCCGAACACCTGGTGGGCGTGGTGGGCGCACAGCCACCGATATCCCGCCCTGCGCGACCGAAGCACCAGAAAACTTGCCCAGGAAGGTGGTGGAGAGGTTGCCGCAGCGAAACCTTCTCTCTTTTTCGGCGGAGAATGGCCTATCTAGCGGTGGGCGTCGCCGGGATCAGCAGGGTGGCAGCAGAGCGCACGGGGGTGGAGGGCGAATCTGGACGATTTGTCATGACTTTTCGCCTGACATTGTGGCCCAGGCATGGGTTTCCCTTCCGCCGGAGCCCCCGAGCGCCCCCCAGTGCGCTGGGTTCAGCCTGGGATCGTCGGGCCCAAAAACGGGCCGAGCCGACGGATTTCAGCGTCTTGGGGGCGCGATTGGTTTTTTTTTCTGGCGCCGACGTGAAAAAAGTCACCCTGGGGGCCTGTTGGGGGCGCGGCTGGAGATGCTCTAATGCACGTGAAACCTGAGCAAGAGAGAAAAACACATCCTCACGCCCGTGTCGCTCCTGGGGCGGCTCGGGTGGAACCCTAGCCTGCGAATGGTGGCGATAGGGAGCTCTCTCGCATGCATGCGCGCTCTCGTGGTGGGGGATGCTCATCCTCTCGATTTGTGGCCTGGCCCACCACGGTGGTCGGCGGCTCACCTGGCGCGATCCGACGTCCTCACTCGATAGCATGCTCCTCTAGAGGTGGCTCGAGGAGGCTTCGGTTGCGCCTCTGCCCTCATGGCCGCTGGATCTGTCCGATTTGGCGCAGCGGGATGGCAGCCTAGGTTCCTCCAGCTCGCTGATGTCGGCAGACGGCAGCTGGGTCATGTTGCAGTGCAACTGTGGGAGGACGTCAGATCTTGTAGGGCGGCTGGATTTGACCTGTCGTCTGGCGGGGAGGATTGATGTCGGTGGCTCTCTGGTGCTGCCGGCGCGGTGGCTCTGCGAGAGGTGGGTGGGCCAACGGAGGTGCAGTGCGTGCGGGTGGTGGGTGGTGGGTATGCTTCGGGCGAAAGTTGGTCCGGTCTTGCCGGCGGCGGCGATATCCGTAGACGTCGTCTCACCTCTTGGGAGGCACCGCTGTGGAGACCCGTATCCTCCGCAATCTTTGGATCGTGCTCTTCGGGTGGAAGCCTAAGGCCCGACTGGGTAGGCCGACGGCGTCGTCATCGTCACTTCCCTCTTGGGGCGTCGCCTTGAAGAGCATTAGATCCCGTTTGTGCGCTCCATGGGCTGGACGCTCGCGACATTGCGGTCGACAGGTGCCCGTCTGGCAATGTGGATGTCTTTCACTGCTTCTTGTGTGCCAACGATGGCGGCTTCGGACGGAGCAGGTTGCAGCTGAGTTTTGGTAGTCGGTCTCATCCGACGTGTTTGAGGGGGCACCGGGCTTCACTTTGTCCTTCTGGAATCGAAGCTGATGAGGAGGGCCCTTGCGGCTATGATGAGACGAGACGGGTGGTTGGTTTCGGCACCGGCTCGACGCAGGCCCGACTCTTTTCTCCTGCCATGCTCATCGACAGAGTCGGAGCTGCCTGGTCGCCGGTGTGTGTGGTTGACTGTTTGGCATCAGCCGACGCAGGCCTCGATGCTTGTTTGCGGTGAGAGCACATCAGTGATCGTCAATGACGGAGTCGCAGTCGCCCTTGCGGAGGTGTGATGACGATGGCACCGAGTTGCAACCTCGACAACGTTCTCTCCTCGACAGTGTGTGTGCGTTTTTGTGTGGGTTGCCAGGTCGCCCTTGCGGAGGCGTGATGACCACGACATCTGGTTGCAACCTCAACGGCGTTCTCTCCTCGACAACGTGTGTGTGTTTTTGTGTGGGTTGCCAGGTCGCCCTGTGTGCCTTGTTTTTTGTGGACGTTTGTGACGGTTTTTGTCTAGTTTTTCATTAATTAACTGGATAACTTTCTTCGACCTTTTTAAATGAATCGGGCTCTTAGGGACCATATTTAATAAAAAAATAAGCCTGAGCAAATTTGTATGGGAAGGGGCATTTCCTGCGTTCCCTTGACTGCTCACATGTGTAGGAGGATCTATCAAAGGGGTTTCTTGTGTTGGCCCCCTCTGCCTGTGAGCGCTGCTTGCGCATGTTGCTGATGCGTTTGGTTCTCTCTGCCGTGATGCCACTTTCATACTACTTGTACGTACTAGCCCACGATCGTTGTGTCGTTGGTTTCGTCGGCGAGATTTGGTGGAATAGTTTGTTGTATTGCTTGAGCCTTGTGGGCATATATATAGGAGTACAATGATCTAATTGGAGTACAAGACAAGACAGAACAAATCCTCGTCTATCTCGTCTTTCCTAATAATCACGATACTCAACATCCCCCCACAGTCACAACGGTAGCGGCACAGACGGTGAGACTGGAGAAGAATCCGAAGGCAAGCTGACGGACCCCCCCCCCCAGTCGTAACGGTCGATGCATCGCGGAGTCGTGGCTGGAGTGAAAACCGACGAGGTTGCTCAAGTAGGCGGTGGCCCTTTGTGCCGTTTGTCGATGTAGCCAAGAGCGTGGGTGGTGGAGCCTTGGTCGAGGTAGCCGTGCGAAGAATGTCGTGGTCGATGTCGAGTCGGGGTAGCCGGTGTCGAGGAAGTTGCCGTGGAGCCACGGGCGCAAGGAGGCGCCGAGTTAGTCGTTGGCGCAGTGGTGTCGAAGTAGTGGTGCGTGAGGAAGTAGATGATGTTGATGACGCATCGCGCCGGGGTTGCAAACCCTGGGGACACATCGTAGACGAAAGCACGCGTTGGTGTTGCCAGCATCAAGCACGCGTAGACGGACGAAGACGAAGTTGACGAAGCGCCGCACCAGGCTTGCCAGGCCCGGGGACACGTCATGGACGAAGGCACACGGCGGTTTTGCCAGCACCGGGCATGCGTAGACTGGGACCTGCATGAGCTGTACGCCATGTCGAAGAAGTCAGAGAGGCCAGTAGAGAAGGACTCGACGACGGCTGTGGTGCCAATCAGCGCGGGGCCAATGT